TGGTATGTACGTAACGCCGACCTCCATCGAGACTTAGACCTCCCCACAGTCCAGCAATTTCTGAAAACACTCTCTGAGAACTTCGTCAAAGCCTCAGAGTCTCACTGTAATCACTACATTCGTGTGACAGCTTCCTATGCAGCCCCACGCCCCTCTCGCTATCGAGTCCGAAGACCGAAAAACTCTCTCTCGGACCCGCCAAACAAGCTTTCGGCCGACCTGAACTACTTCCTGACGGCTCAGGCCGACTCTTCTTTACTTGCCTTAGTTAGGCTTCCCCTCAGCGGCTCGTCGCCGCCTGCGTCCCCTTTTCCCCAAAGAGGGTCGCTTCCGATTCGGAAGAAAGACCTCAAAAGCCAATGCCAGTCTCACAGGTGGTGTTTAGTGGGTAGGTACTTAGGTTAGGTTAAATTAGTCGCAGTGAGTCCCACATAACCACGACAGCCGGCTGTCGTGGTATGCTTAGAACATTCACCACCTCCCTTCCTGGCTTTCCGGAGGCTATCCCTTTCAATTGCTTCTGGACGCATAAAAAGGGAGCAAACGAGTATGCGGCTCACCTGATGGTAAGCGACCCATAAACAACTCCAACACCAGGGAAATTGCAGGTGCGTTGCCGGATTTTTAGAAAGGAGTATAGTCTTTTTTTTTGAAGGTCCCTAAGTTATATAGGTCCGGAAAAATCGCCGGTGGTAAACGACTCCACAAAGAGGTTGTACGGGAAAAACATCTCCTAGTAAAATACACTGTGGTGGACCGTTAAGCATCCAGATGGTGGGGATGGTATCGTTAGTTTAATTTTATAATATTCATACAAAACTCTTAAAATTGTCCTTGAATGTTAAAAACATGTTTATCTATAATTATCTACAAAGAGCCTAGATTCATATCAATCCATTCATTAAAAATTGACATTTAAGTTGATGGTAAATAATCAAGATAGATTACTTTTATCCGATTCATATAATGAACAATAATTATAAAGATTCATATAAGTAATTACATCAAAATACATTTATTAACATTAAAGCAATTTTGATTGCTCATTATAAGGCTGAGTTTTTAAGGCTATATGGTGATACTAATGAATTAATATAATATTTCTACGAAATCAGTTAGAAGATTGTTTTGTTGCTGTCTTATATTATTGACGGCGCAGTGGTTGCGCACTGAGGTGCAGGTTAGCATTGAGTTGCGGTGCTGAGGGCTGTAAATTCGAATCTTGCTCGGAACAAATGTTTACATGGCCTGAAAATAATTGCTGCATGTCTGGATGTTTGTCCTTGAGCAATTTATGTAAGTAAACTGCCTCTATGATACAGCGATAATCCAAGTGATGAGATAACATTTAAAAAGAGTACTTACCAAGATGGAATCTTAAGAAAAAAAGAAGTCATAGCCCCTAGTTAGTTTCAAATTTATCCTTACCATTACCGTTACAGCCTATTAAAGTCCACTGCAGAACATAGGCCTCCCCCATTAATTGCCCCATAGGTGAGACATTTGCCATAGTTGCCACACTTGGCAAGCGAGTTGGCAACCGCAGTTTTTATTTGTAGTCGTTATCAGGAAGATGATGCAGCCTAACTTCTGATTTGTTTCCCTCTGTCGCCTTTTACGACACCCAGGGGAGTAGTGGATGTTCTTACACACGATATTAAAATTTACGCACAGGCAAATCTAGCGCGATACATTTATTTTCAATTGATTACCTAGAATTATAGTGTTCCTTAAATCAAAGCATAGGAATGTATAAAATTATTGAAACTATGTATGCTTTGGAGCTTGCCACCCGTAGATACACATCTTATCTCTTATATTAACAACCGGCAATCCCGGACGGCGTTTGAATGGGACTTGGCCCAATATTCATGTTTATGTTTATGGTGGGATATAATTAATATCCACCGTGTAGTGATGGTGTTAGATTATACACCACCGCAAATCGTCCCGTGGGTATCGTGTCACAGAGGGAAGCTGAATAAGTAGATGGGCAGCAGAATCTTCGTGATAACAACTCAAAATAATAAAAATCTGAAGTTGCCAACCCGCATGCCAAGCGTGGCAACTATGGCAAAACCCCCTCTATGACGCCATTTAAATAGGAAGCCTATGTTTAGCAGTAGATATTGACATTCTGTGACAGGATAGAATAACAGATCATTAATATTTGAAATACGTTTTATCCATTAAATATTAATCTAAATAACGTGGCCGGAAGGCCGGAAACGTGGAAACGTTTTTTATAGCGTTTATGCTTAATTTTTTTACTTTTTATTGAACTATAAGAATGTCGACAAACCTATTCGTATTTTTAGTTACAAATAGAGTACAAGTTACAAGATTAAATCAAAAGTTTTTGAAGTAAAACTTCGATAGGCGCGACTTGAGTGCAGCACTTGAAAGTAATCGTTTAGCTAGTTTCAAAGTACAGTACTTGAAACTAATCGCACCAATAACTTTGTCGACACTTTTTAGGTGGTAGAACCACGTTGCGGCTTTATTATGTTTGCAGCACTAACGGCAGAAAAATGCTGGTTTATTTTGTATGGTGAGTGTAGAGACTCTCTGAGAAAAACGTCTGTGATTTCGTCTCACATCATGATGATCAACGACGACATCAACATGTATCATTTCACATCGAGGTGATTCAACGAGTGTTACGATTTATTAATTTTGACTAGCAATGCAATTAGTGTAAATTAAGTCACGCAAAAAGATAGATAGCCTTTTCCTTCATCGTTGATTTGTGCTGATAATGAATAACAGATCATGTTAATTTAAATATGTATGCGCATTTATGATTATCATTTTTTATGTATTTTAAATAGCCAATTGTTCTTTTGAAGAGAGATTCTTTTGAAGTACTAGGCATAAATTTAATAGAAACTACTTCATATTGCATTTAAAAACAATAAAAGACAATACATACAAAATAGACATTAAGAGACTTTAAAAGAAATTCAACAAATTATTATATTTACCAAATGAAAACGAAATTGCAAATTTTCAACACGCTTAAATAGCACACAACTAATCATTGGTTTTCAGGTAAAAGTGATTTATAATTGTCCCCTTTTCTATGACCCTTTACAAAAACCACGTTCGATGTTATCGCCCTGTACATAAGCCTTAACCTATGGCCTAAGTGAAGAGCGTTTAGTGGGACGTTCAGTTCCGCGTTGAGCATAGCGTTGCGTTCAATATACATTTAAAGCGACCACCAGTTGTAATATACTTTAACACACGAGATTATTTCTGATATACGCCGAAGTATATGTGGTCAACTGTAATACTGTTTAATTGAATGTGATTTGGAATGATTACTTTTATTAAATAGATTCTTGTAATATGACGTAAAATAGACGTTGTTTGACGTCACTTTAGAGTGAAATTACTGATACCCTTATCGAAATAAATCTGTTAGAGAACATTTTGAAATTTACATGAACATACACAAAATAACTAAAATTGGTCAAGTAAAATAAAATAGAAATCATGCAAGTACATTGATTTTGTAAAAAAAAAAGCGGAGATCTATGATCAGCAGTGAACATATAAAGAGCTGTAATGATGATTATGGTGATGATGAAGAAAAAACGCTATTAATAAACTTAATATTTATTTTTGAATAAAATTATAAGTTAAATGTCATAGTGGATTATAAGATATGTATTTAACAAATTTTGCATAATGAATATTACAATGATAATATATTATATTATAAGAGTCAATTTTGCAGCACTTTCTAATGACCGTGTTGTGGCGATGTAAGAATATCCAATACCCCATATTGTCTTGTGACAGACAGCTGTCAGCTAGAATGGGTTTTTATGAGTACGAAAACAACATCCATACCCACACCAACCAGCATTTTCAAACTTCATGAAAATTTGCACAATATTTTTTTATAGAAGTAAAGGTAACAAACCAGCACACAATCGGTCTGTGGGTATTTATTTCATATTAATATTCGAAATGTAGATTCTTTGCCACTCATGAAGACTAATTTTGAATGCCTCGTTACTAGTATTATGGGTCTCTGTCTCTTTTCACTCACCATAATAAACCCCGCTGCATTATATAGCACGACCAATAATATTATTGGTCGTATAGTGGCGGCGTAAAGGAATCCATCAACCTAAAGTGTGGTAAAACCTGACTATAGAAAATGCTAGAAAAGTCTTGTAGTTTCTTAAATATGACGGTATAATCATCTTATTTACGCTAGATGTAAAATATCCAGACCGGCAAGTGGCGGCAGGTTCAAAGGTGCGATATTGGCATTGTGATCAATCCGCCTACCAATCGTGACGATCAAGAAAAATTTTCGCTTGAAGAGAAAATTAAATGAAGTGATGACCACTGTGTGTGACAGCTTTAGTAAGCTGTGGCAATTAATATCCACCAAACTGTAGGATTTGGGTTAGGCATTACTAACAGCTATGCGGGCTTAAGCGTTTGCTAGAATGATTCATTAATTTATTATAGTGTATTAAAACTCCACGGCTCAACATAAACCTCTTGCCTAGGTTACCTCGTTTGGCAACTGTAGTTGTTAATCATCCCTGTTTCGTTTCATTCTGTCGCCTTTTACGACACCCACAGGATATGGGGTAGTGAATTTTATATCGCCACTACACGGTAATATTTTCAAGGCATATATACATATACATTTTGTACATATACATATTATATATATATATATAATATGACTAGATAATTTGTCATTGTTTTCATGTCACTTTTTTAAAATATCTAGCTTCGGTTGTGAGTGAAAGAGAAAAATAATTAGACTTCTGGTGAGGGTGATTGGCACAACAAGCTCAAATAATACATTCGGCTTTAAAATGGCCAAAACTCAAACTTAATTTGTGGTGAAAATTTTATACTTATCATGTTTGCATTACAGACCATCATTTATATACTCGTAATATTTGATATTAGAGAACAATATTTTGTGTAATTTTAAGTTAAGCGTATACTAGGTATGTTTTATTTTATTTATCTGCATAAATTGTTCTCAGAATGGTGAAATAAGACCAGGATGTGCTGATTATCTGAAACAATTTTTGGATACTAAAAATTAAATATTTAAAATTATATTTGTATTAAGGCATATACATACTTTAGTAAAGCATTGATAACTTATTACAGAAAATTTGTACGCAGTTAATATTTGCGGCTTTTTCGATCTGAAATAAAGAAAGGTTATTAATATATGTATTTTTTATAAAATGTTCGAATGACTTTAAGTCGTTATGTTTTTAAATTGTATACTTTACCTTAGTAACAACAGTAATATATGTTTCATTGGCCTTACATCCATGTTGTACCAGAGACAAGCATACGCTGCTTCACCCACCTTTTCACTCTAAATAAAATATTATTTATGGTTTTTTTTGGTTAATTTGAATTTTGAAATTTGATAAAAATAATAAAATTTTACCTCACAGATTAGATTTTCTCCGAATAGGCACGTCATGTAGATTTGTATTAGTACTGAATTTAAAAATAGAACTACTCCCAGCATTTGAGTCCAATCGCCCATCTAAAATATTTTTGTAATTAGTATACAGCGGAGCTCTCAGTAGAGAGTAATTGTGTTTTGTGCAGCTGAGAGTAACTACACCTTTAAATGTTTAATAATAAAAGTTTTTGTTTTTCTATCTTTGTGATAAATTACAGGGTGGGCCATCTAACGTTCGCAATTGGAACCATAGATTATTTTGAGGTTGGGAGGTTTAATGACATTTCCGGTGTAACAGAAAGTTAGTTTTATGTTTGATATTTATAAAATGGGTCGCTTTTCGCTTGAACAAAGTTAGGAAATATTAAAAAATTATTTCCAAAGTGGTGAGTCTTCTACTCAACTTGTAAGAAATTTACGAAAAAAATTTGACAAAAAGTATGTGCCAAAAACGCAGTTTGTGGATCGATTTGTGAAGCTAGTTCATGAAACTGGATCGTTGTTTGATAAAATAACCCGAGTACGTCTTCGTCCAGTGCGCTCAATCGAAAAGATCGCTGCTATTGCTCAGAGTGTGCGTGAATAACCATCAATATCAACTCGTCATCGTTTTCGAGAATTGATTATTTCACGCACTTCTTTGAGAAGAATTTTGCATTAAGATCTCGGTATGAATGCGTACAAAGTTCAATTAGTGCAAGAGCTGAAGCCGCATGACATCCGATGGGCCGAAGACGCTTTATCGAAGATGAACACTTTTATCGAAAAATTATATTTTCAGATGAATCTCATTTCCGCGTCGGAGGATACGTCAATAAGCAAATTTGTCGTATCTGCGGCTCTGAATATTCACACGTCATCATGGAGAAACCAATGCATCCACAACGAGTGTCTGGCGCAGAATTTGGTCTGACGGCACTGCTGGGCCATTTTTTTCGAAAATGAGCAAGAAATTTAATTATAGTGAATGGCCGATGGCTACCGTGCCATGCTAAGCAATTTTTTGTTTCTCAAAATTAAAGATACACTTGATTTCAATAGGATGGCGCAACGTGCCATACAGCCAACGTATCAATCGACCTTTTGCGCACTGTTTTCGAAAATCGCATGATCAGCCGAATTGCTGACGTCAATTGGCCAACTTGAAGCTGCGATTTGACTCCGTTAGACTTTTTTGTGGAGAGCACTTAAGTACAAGTGTTACGCTACCCATCCAGAGATGATTGACGACTTAAAACATGAAAATGTCATTGACGAAATAGAGGCCCAAACAATCGAAAATGTACTGCAAAATTGGACTGATCGAATGGGGTGTTGTAAGGCTAGCAGTGGCAGTCATTTGAAAGATGTTGTATTTTATTCATAAATGGTAAGGTTCACTTATTCTAATAAACTCATGACTTTGAAAAAATATTGTTTAGTTTTTTTTAAAGTCGATTCAAATTCCATATCTGAAATAGCCCACTCCTTATTTTACGCAAATTAAATGGAACGTCAAAGATTTTAAAAGAAAAGAAAACCTTTTACCGTAACAAAATCCTACGTTATAAAGAACGGCTAATTAAAAAAGTTAAGAGTCAATTTGTTTTAAACAGCAGCGCTACAACCGTCTAAACTTGTTGTTATAATAAATTATAAAAGCAAAGCTTTTAGAGTTTCTTCTTAGAATTAATTGTAATAAGAGAGTATAGCTTATAGTGTATTAGACGTGTTTGAATATCTAATTCAAGTATGTTTATTTTTCGTTGCATTTTCATTATTTCTATAAGGTTCATTGAGCAACTTTTTTATTTCACTAAGACCAAAAGGAGGAATATAGCAAAAGATTATATTAATTGCTTTTGTGTGTCTGCGCAAGACATTTGGTAATAATGGATTGCGGATAGTATCGACAGGCAGCTAGATAAGTTTCTCTAAGAATTGTCCAATAAGCTATTGTATTGTCCCATGGTATATTGGAAATACTTTATTGACAACGTCTAGTGGCCATAGCAAATGACAATAACCATGACCTCACCATAGTCAGTGCTGATAGGCACATGGTTGCAACTTATATGCCAGCACTGCAGTAGAGATGGCATTGGATTTTTTGACAATAGTTATATTAATATGATCAGAAAATTTATACAATGGTATTTATCAGTGAAACATTCAAAATAATTCTCTCAATAAAGCAAAACATCGAAGGTACAGCGCGCCGCTTACCGACATCTTATATAGGCATATATATTATATAAGGCATTACTAACAACTCAAACTCCACATCAAAATCTATCACAAGCTCCACAAATAACAATATTGTTTATGTACAACTTAAAATCTAATACTTTTTGATACAAAAGTTGGTTTAATGATAAGTATGATAATATATTGTAAGGCACGCAACGCACCTGCAATTCCCATGGAGTTGCAGGTGATCGCGGTCACTTAACATCAAGTGAGCCGCATGCTCATTTTCAACTTCCTCTATAAAAACGCAAACATATGTATAATTATGTATTTAGCTTTTTATTTTATTACTTATTAACACGTTTGAAATTTGTCACAATAGTTCACTACGTTACGAGTTGACTGGTAGAGAATGACGACAAGTATTAAATTCGCCCACTGTTATCATAGTCCTCAGTTAAGGCATTGGAATTTAAATTCTTAATCGAGAATAGATGTAGATATATTTGGGTCAAAGCATTCACTTTCCATCAGGAGTACTGTGTGCCTTTTGTCACCCTTATTCTATAAAAGATACGCCAACATGTGACAGGGAGCAGTATAAGGAATGTGGTCGATCATGTAGTATGATCGTCGATTTGCTTATCACCAGTGGAATATTAATGTCTGACAAAGTGGTGATGTTTTACGTTAAAGTACATTGTCGGTCATATAAGGGGAATGTTTCATCAATTTTTTCGGTAAAAACTATATTCAGCACTAGACTTAAAAGGTATTGAACCTTTTAAAATTTTGATGCTATGAGGATAATATGGTCAAGAGCTGAAGCAGCAGTAGCAGCTGATCTGCATCTATTACAATAGTAGGAAACAGCGGTTATAACTTAATTACAAAAAGATGTACATGTAAAAGTTTTCTACTTACTGTAAGATTAAAGCCTAGAGCACAAATTTGGAGCGAGCCCATTAATACGTTAAAAAAATTTGGTACAGTAAATATGTCTTCGAGAATAAGAGAGAGCCTGAAAAAATATGATTCGAAACGTCATTGTTTTTTGTATTTATCAAAAATGATAAGCGACGGTTATCACATACTTCAGAATATATTGATGTTTTTTCACAATATTTCGTAATGAACTCATGGTCATAGTGTCTAAATATTGTAGTTCGTTAGAAATTAGTGAAAAATGACAGCATAGGTGACATGTTAAAACATAATACAAGATATCGACACTTGTAAAAAATAGCACACAATTAAATCCTGCAATGTTATAAACAATATATTAAAACTGAATTAGTTCATTGAGTTAGTGACGTATTAAAAGCATTTTATGTTGAACAAAAAAAAATGTTGAAAATTTATATTACGTAAAGGTATAAGCTAATATTTACGTGCCATTAGTAATTGAAAAAATGTACACTACAATCCATGCAAGCATCGAATCTGTTGAAAAGGGCAACAGTACTGCATAAGGTAATATAAAGGTGATTTCGTTTTTTGTTATATAATAATATAGCATAATAATAATAGAAGAGAAATTATAAACAAAGATAAGAAATACATTTAGAATAAAATAATACTTTATCAAAAGGCTTAAAAAACCTAATTCACTTTTCACAATATTTTGTTTTTTGATATCAGCGGTAATTTCTGAGTAAAGATCGCTAAGGCTGATAACAAATTTGTTAATTTTTTCGCGTTTCCATACAATACAGACAATTTTTAAAAATGACAGTAATCCAATACAAATACAAGGCGCTAATTCAGTTAGTTTCAAAAAATTTTCACTTGAAATTTTAGACACAAAGAATGAAATTTCTCCCGTAAGCATCAATATTATTGAAATCAAAAATAAATAGAATCTAATAGAAATTTTTGATTCATCAAACGATATTCCCAATAAGAAATAATTTACTACAATTTGTTTAAAGAAATGTTTAAATTCAGGGATTTCCATTTTAAAAAATAAGAAATAAACTTTTTTGATGTCAACTTCCTTCCTTCCTTTATAAGCAAAGAGAGAGAATGAAATATACGATTTAGGTTACTACGCAAATGGCAAAACTAGAAAACCAGGGTTGTGCTATCCTTAGATATATGGTAATATTTTTAAATTGTTTAATGTTACAAACTTTCCCTATGCTCAGATATACCACTAATTAGTTAGCTTGCAACCGATTGTGTTTCACGTCGAAAGCGCGTATTTTGGGTTTGTTATGGAATAATCGGGCCATATAATCTCCGCAAGGAATTTGAATGAATGAATTATTTATTCATTACGTACAACACAACTTACAACAAAGTAATTTAAATAACAAACAAAACAAATAAAGAAACAATATACATAAATATATTGGGTTACAACAACGAAAAGGCATACAACTCAGCATAATGCCGTTTTGCTACAGTATGATAGCTATACAGTTCGCCATTATTCTGATTGTAGTAGAGGTTTAGTAATCCCCTAATACTACTGACGGCTTTTGGGAGGCCAAGATATTTAGACCTGTAAGTGCCGACATGCATAAAATAAAGATGCAAACTCTGCATAAGAAGTCTCTTCTGTCTGTAATACCAATGATGAACAAAAATGCTTATTTAGGCTGGATTTAGTGCTCGATCGACGGTCAGCACGTACCGTACGCGCTGATGGTAAATTCTGATCGTCGGTCGAGGCCAAGCGTTTAGTGCTTAACTGACGGCAAGCTTTATTAGACGTGTTCAATTACGAAGAAAAATGAACCCATTTGTTAACTCTATAATAAGTGCGTACTATTTACGCAAACGATTACGGCATAAAAGATGCAGAAGATATCATGTGCACCCAATAATTGTAGACGATTTAATTAAAGGAGAATTTTGTTCATTGTATTCGAATTTTTTTTTATAGGATAGGGTGACAAACGAGCACACAGTCCACCTCATGGTAAGTGGTTGCTGTGGCCCATAGACATCAACATTTATCCTCGTTTACGAATCAAAATGCAGATGCGTTGCCACCCGTAAGAATTAAGATGGAATGCCTCGTTTCCAGTAAAAAGGGTCTTCGGTTCTCTACACTCACCATACGAAACATAGCAGTGTTAAGCTGCTATTTGACGCTGGTATTCTGTGAGAGCGTGGTCCTTCCCCGGTCGAGCCGACATAGCTACAGCATGGCTCTACCACGTACAAATTGCGAGAACAATGTTCATGTATCAATGTTAATTTTGTTCGCGATAATTCTGTCAGCGTCACACTGAACGCACGCATGTACCGCCATAGCGCGTCAGTCAACTGAAGTACGTCGGACCGACGATCTCGACCGACGGTCCTCGTACGCGCGACGTAGCCGTACGCGCGTAGTACTTCATCAGTGCTGCACTGTAGCCGTTAATAGATTTTCATTGATATAGCTGCGCTCAACCGATGTCAGCGCTCAGCGTCGGTCGAGCACTAAATCCAGCCTTAAAGAACTCTGGGTTTTTTTGTCGTATTATTGCATCAAGGCGATCTGAAGAAATCCTGAAATGTAAGCATTTATTTGCAAGCAAGGCAAAACAAAAGAAATTATAAAGATTGTAAATTGACTAGACAATAGCCAGTTCGTAATCTTCATGATTTGTTAAACAATGAGCATGATTTAGCCTGATTCGTGGTAGCTCAGTGGCTGAGTGCTCGTCTTAAATATCATAGTATGCGATCAGCCGGGTTTCGATTCTTTTTGAAATTGTTGATTGTGGTTTAAAGCGCGAATTTGCTATGTGCTTAGTGTGAGTAAACTTGCTTGTCTGAGATATTGAACAAACCATTATTCTAAGACATGTGAAGTCCACCAACATGTACTGGGGCAGCACGGTGGACACTTACTTGCCCTAAAACTCTCACAAATTTGAGAAGAGGCCTGTGCCCTGGAGTGAGGCGCAAATTGGCTACAATTTAACTTGACTGATTCAGTCTAAAATACTGTATTGTAGGTGCGTAGCGGTTTACTATATGAATCACACTAAGATCTTAAATTGTTCCAGCTCCTCTACATGTAGATACTAGTTTCTCTACGTGTATTAGTCTGTAAAGATTATCAGTTCTCTAGGGTTCAGATCTATCAGATATTTTGTCATATTAAATCGATTTTCTTATTTCTTTTATTTAAGAAACAAGAAAATGAACGTAATATATAAGACAACTAAAAGTGAAATAAAAAGTAATACTTGGCTAGTAAAATAGAAAATTCGTTCGATATATCACTATTACGTATATAACCTACCTCATTAACCTCATATATTTTATCTCGTCGTAATATATCTTTACGTCATACTGATAAATCAATTCCTTTCTTGATTTTAATTTATTGTTTCTTTAGTCTATTAATTACATTAATGACTGGTCAACTGTGAGACACGATACATTCCTTTATAATTTTTTTTTAATATAATGAGAATTAAAAAAATCAATTTACACGTATAAATGATAATGTGATAACCTTTTTCTTAAGTTATCTCATTTTATGTAATTTTATCTGTTGTAAAGTTTTATAAAAATCTCAGTATTACCAAAGATCAAATTAAAAAATCGGTCCTTAAAATACAATATATACCAATTACTGTCTCGATGTTGTCATAAGAGGTGAAAGTAAAAAATAAACCAAGAGATGGGCAACAGCAGCTATGTGATAATAGCAAAAATCACAATAAATAAAAACTACGGAGTACCAACCTGCTAGCAAGGCGCGGTAATTATGGCAAACATCAGGCAATCTATGTGTTCAGCTGTAGACTTATAGTAGACGAATGCATAAAAATTTTACGCCTTTCTAATCAGCTCCAGTGAACGCAAAAAATCAGCTCTCTTTAATATAATCTTTATCGTCAACCCTATTCTAAATACATGTTAACAAAATCGACATTTAAATTTCATATCTTTGAGTGTCAATGTGATGGGTGTGGCATATTAAAATTGTATGCGATGAAACGCTATAAAATTCCTTTTAATCTCAAATGGTTTTCGAACTGAATGTCTATAAAACATAAGTTCAATAGTTAATATAGAATAAAGATTTCTTTTTCAATATATTTTTCTCTTGGTTTACTTATTATAGGTTATTAATACTATAGGGCCAGCAGCTGGCCGACTTCATGGAGAAAGAGGGACTCTTTATGATGAACTCTTTCTTCCAGAAGCGGCCCCACAGGATGTGGACCTGGTCGAGCCCCGACGGTTCGACAAAAAATGAGATTGACTTCATTATGACGACCAGACGACAACTGTTCAGTGATGTCTCAGTGATCGCGAGGGTGAAAACCGGCAGCGATCACCGAATGGTTAGAGGCACACTGAACCTAAACGTTAAGTTGGAGAGGTCTCGTCTAATGAAGTCAACGCTCCGTCTCCCTCGTGCTTTAATCCAAAGTTCCGAAACCTTTTAGCTCGAGTTACAAAACCGTTTTCAGTGCCTAGAAGACTGCAATGAAGTGGACGATTTGAATGACAAGCTCGTGGAAACTGTCCATGCGGTCGGAGCTAAGTTCTGCAAGACCCGCCGCAGAAGAACACAAAAAGTCTCCGATCACACTCTTAATCTCATGGCTGTTAGACGGGAGATGAAGCTTTATTCTTCAACAGATTTGACAGCATACAGGCAACTGAACAGACAGATCTCCAAATGCATGCGGCGGGACTTACGCAACTTCAATACAGCTCGTATTGAAGAAGCGGTCGAGCGGAACCAACGCTTCAAAGTCTTTGCCAGAGATCTGTCTGCCAGAAAGAGCCAACTGTCAAAGCTGAAGACGGAATGTGGCAGCATCGTTTCCGGGGCACCTGAGATTTTGAGTGAGATAAGAGGTTCTATGGGCAGCTGTACACGTCATCGTTGGAGCCGCACGCAAGTGTGAGTAACGATCCAAGAGCGAGTCTTATCCGACATTATTCCGATGATATCCCGGACGTCAGTCTGAGCGAGATTAGAATGGCTCTCCAGCACCTTAAAAACGGCAAGGCCCGAGGCGAGGATGGAATTACAGCGGAGCTTCTGAAAGCGGGTGGAAAACCAGCACTTGAAGTGCTTCAGAGGCTCTTTAATTCCATCCTCCATGGTGGCATTACACCGGAGGCATGGAGCAGAAGTGCGGTGGTCTTATTTTTCAAGAAAGGCGACAACGCTCTCTTGAAGAACTACAGACCGATTTCCCTTCTGAGCCGCGTCTACGTGCTGTTTTCGAGAGTCATTACGAATCGTCTCGCGCGCAGACTTGACGACTTCCAGCCTCCCGAACAAGCTGGTCTCGGAAAAGGCTTTAACACCATAGACCACATACATACCATTCGGCTAATTGTACAGAAAACCGAAGAGTTTAATTTGCCACTATGTTTGGCGTATGTGGACTATGAGAAAGCCTTTGATTCCGTCGAAATTTGGGCGGTGCTGCAGTCCCTTCAGCGATGCCAAGTTGACTGTCGGTATATCGAAGTGTTGAGTGCTTGTACAGTAGGGCTACGATGGTTATCCGAGTACAGAACCAGAGTACGAAACCTATCCAATTGCAGAGAGGTGTAAGACTGTGTGACGTTATATCCCCGAAACTATTTACCCCTGCATTGGAAGATGTTTTCAAGCTTCTGGACTGAAAAGGATACGGTATCAACATCAATGGCGAGTACATCACTCACCTTCGATTTGCCGACGATATAGTCCTTATGGTAGAATCGCTGGAGAACCTAAGCACTATGCTCAATGACCTCAATAGTGTTTCACAACGGATAGGTCTTAAGATGAACATGGACAAAACAAAGATCATGTTTAATATCCATGTCACACCTATGCCGGTAGTTTTTGGGAACACTAAGCTCGAAGTTGTTGACGAGTATGTTTACCTGGGACAAATAGTCCGACTAGGTAAGTCCAACTTCGACCGAGAGGCCAATCGACGGATTCAACGGTTGGGCAGCGTTCGGGAAATTACGGCACATCTTCTCGTC